GGTCGCTAAAATTAGTACCCAGCTGTTGGGGGGCAATGAGCTTACAGTCGTAAGCCATTTGGACACTGAATAGTGCGGTATGAAGTGGTATATAAATAAAGTTGCTTTGCTATAAACGTTTTGTATCTCTATCTTAGTAGTGGCCCTCCTGTTTCATATACATGGACTTCCCACATTGACTTCCATCCATGAAATTATACTTGCTTAGTTTTAATAGCACTGCAAGTGTATGATTATCAGGATCATAGTTCATACTTGGTCTTGCCATACTTAACTGTTACCATGTTTAATTGCTGTGTTTGGGCACGTGTGTCCAAATTTTATTTTATCCTAGTGGTGATGCTGGTAAACAGATAATGATTGTGTATCAACAGTGGACTGGGATAATGTAGGGAGATGTAGAGAGGAACTATCACCAAGGTTGTTCTAGGCCTGAGAAGACAACATGTTTTGATTTGCTGACAAATGGGATGAAGGTTTTTATAACAGGTGAACTGGTTGAATTTTATAACAGGTGAACTGGTTGAATTTTAAGTATACTATGTAACTGGAAAAAAAACTTCAGTCCTGACAACACCTATGTATTATGATCTACTCTCTTTACTGAATAAGGCTTTTCTGTATCTACTGAAGTCTTGTGTTCTTGGAGTGGAGTTAGGCTGTACATTACAATGATGCAGCAGCTTATGACTTGAGCACTGGCTCCACTACTATGAAGGACATGCACAAGCTTGATATGAGCCTATTTAAAAATAATCACAAAAGTGATACCTATGGAGCAGTCCAAACTCCAGAAGGATATGAAGTGAGCTTCGTGAGTATTTGTTCTTAACTGACAAAACAACAGGTCATTTGCATCTGAAAATTTGTGGAAGACAGGGACAGAACTAACAGTTCACCACACCATGAACTACAGACCATCCAACTTAAGAAACTTCTTTTTCCATGTCTTCTCATTACATGATGGATGCCAAATGACCCAGCTGCAGAAAGCAGGAAACATACATGCTTTCTTGTAAAAGTGTATAGAGGACACAGCATAGTGGGCACAGTTCCCTCCTAATTTCTTCCTCTATCCACCCTCTTAACCCAAGTAATTAAATCTTTGACTGAAGCCATCATTAGTAAAGCTAAGCAAGTGTGGATCAAAAGCTTCACATAGACCACTCAAATCTTTTTAAAGGAGAAGTGGAAGGATGTAATCACAATGTACTAAGGTTAGTTTTCCCTTTTTCTTTACACTATAGCTCCCAGAATTCCCCAGACAGCATCCCCATCCTGGTGCAGTACTCTTCAAACCCAAGTCCAATAAGATAACCCTTCTAAGTTCTGGTTATAACAAAAAAACAGATGGTTATTTTTGGATACATTCATGTCCATTTAGCAGTCAAGGAGTTTAGATCAAATACCTGTTTGTAGAGCTCAAAGTGGGTGAGGGGGAGCTCCACTGCCTCCCTCACTTCCTGTTTCTGAATATCCATCCCTCCAATATCAGCGTACATTACATCTGGTTTCTGATCTGTTTAGAGAAGACAAAGAAAAACTAAAATACTGCCTAATCTAAACAAGTGCCCCCTATAACAGAGTTGGAGAGCATGCAGCCTTTTGTATACTAGAGTGCGCAAAGCATTGTAGCCTAGTGGTGTGAGCATGGGACCCTGACTTTGGAGATCAGGTTTCAGTTCTTCACTCAGCCTCGGAAACAGACTGGGTGACCTTGAGCAAGTCATACACTCTCAGCCCCAGAAAGACACTTTAGTCACTATAATTTGGAAATAACTTGAAAGCACACAACAACCACTCCCATCATCCCTCATCATTGGCTACGTTGGCTAAAACTGAGCAGAGCTGCAGTCTAGCAACATCTAGAGCAGGGGTAGGCAACCTTTCCCCTTTAAGGGCCGAGGGACTTCAGCTCCCAGAAGCCTCAGCCATGTTGGCCAATAGTCCCATGGTGGTCAATAGCTCCTGGGATTCTGGGAACTGAAGTCCCTCGGCCCTTAAAGGGGAAAGGTTGCCTACCCCTGATCTAGAGGGTTACACACTTGTTCTGCTTTACAAGCATTGCCAAGAAATCCTCACTTCCTTTCGATCTCATTCTTCAAAATACCCAGGGACAAAATATACAGGAAGTCCTTTGCCCAACAGGAAAAGTAACAAAATATCAGCTTTCTTTGACAATCCAGCACAATGCTCTACATTTTAAACCAGGGGTAGGCAACCTGTCCCCTTTAAGGGCCAAGGGACTTCAGCTCCCAGAAGCTTCAGCCATGTTGGCCAATAGTCCCATGTTGGCTAATAGCTCCTGGGAT